CGCCGCCATGGACTCCCGGCCCGCGTCGCCCGAGCCCGGCCCCGCGCGGCTGGCGGTCCTGGGCGCCCCGCAGGCCGAGGTGCTGGAAGACGTGCTCCGGGAGCAGTTCGGGCCGCTGCCCCACCTGGCCGCCATCTGCCGGCTCAAGCGGCTGCCCTCGGGCGGCTACTCGTCCACCGAGGACCTCCAGTTGGTGCTGGAGCGGCGGCGCGTGGCCAATGCCAAGGAGCGCGAGCGGGTGAGGGGTCCCCAGGGCCACTGGGGCGCGGCCCTCTGCGCCCGTGCCCCTCCCCGCGCCGCGGGGTTTAGCCCGGTGCGCCCCTCGCGCGGCCCCGACGCCTCTTCGGCCTCCTGAGGTCGGTGGGCAGCGTGTCGTGAGCGCGGCAGTGGCCGTGCTGTCCCGCACCTGCGTCCAGCGGCAGTCGTCCCTCACGTGCGAGTTTATTTCTTTTAAAGTAAAGAACCCGTGTCCCAGCTCGCGTCCAAATTCCCTCTCGGGCGCTGTCGAGAGAAAGTGGAGAAGGGAACTTTCCCAGTTGGGGCTGCCACAGTCGAAGGGAATTGGCTTGTGGCCGTGATTGGAGCGACATCTGCTGGTAGCTTTCAGCGGTTTGGGTCAGCTTTCAGGATCCCCGTTTGGCAGGCGGTTGGTAACCTCGGGTTTGGTTGCCTGAGAAGGGGACCTAGAGGGGCAAGGATTGGGGAAGGGAGGGCAGAGGGCTGCAGAGAGCACCTTGAGGCCTGGATGGGGAGAAGTGAATTCTCTTGGGGCTGTTCCTATCCCCCCACCCCCCGAAACATTAGTGAACCGGTGGGAAACTAAGGAGAAAGCACCGAATGCGGGGGCAGAATAGGGGCAGAAGACATAAGAGAAATTGGAAAATTGTAAGGGTGGTGAAGTGTGTATTTCTCAGCCACTACACATGCATGTAGTCTCAGCCCTGGGAGGCTGAGGCAAGAAGATTGCCTTGCCTTTGAGGCTCAGCCTGTTAAAGATTGAGACTCTGTCTCAAAAACCTATAAATAAATAAATAAATAATCCTGTGATACGACTTGATGGTCCCGAAATGAGACTTTGATCCAGTATTTTAAGGGGTTCTTTCCACCCGGGGGTACCGCCTTGTGTAGAGAACTGACCCGGGTTTTATTCACTTAGGAAGCTAATGACCTTTATCTTTAAAATGACAGAATTAATAACACCTGGAAAATACAGACATGCCTGAAAAGGGAATGGAGACACAACACTGATGATTACTGTGAACATAAAAATATGACCAACTTGGTATATGAAAAATGGTATCTAATTTGTTGTAGTTTGATTATTAAAGTTAAATCTTTATCATACATTTACTGGTCATTGAATTCTCATGTAAATTCTCATGTGAAGACATCTCATTTGTCTGTTTTACTACAGGGTAGCAGAGGGGCTGTCAGTAGAATTGAGTATGTTGGCTTTATGATATAAAGCCAGCTCTCCTAGGGCCTGTGTCCCGTTGGAGAGTGAGCATCAGAGTTCTAGGTCTGCAGAGCCAAGGTACAGTAAGTTCTCAACTTATGAATGAGTCCTTTTCTGAGAGAATTGTTTGTAAACTGGATCTGTTTGTAAGCCAGCAAAGTGAATCTTATAGAGTACAGCCATGAAAATTCATAACTTGCATGTTTATAAGATGGGGACCTACTGTATTAGACCCTGGAGAATAGGAGAAAATGAAAGTAAAGGGTCTTTGAATCCATCAGTGTGTAGACTCTCACATTTGACTCTAGCATTAACTTGCTGGGAAAGAAGTTGGAATGTTGAGGTCACTGTGCTTGACTGGGCAAGTGTTTTATTCAGCAGCAGTATCACTTCTGGAGGACTTTATGTTAGATCTGGGTGAGATTTTTGGTATGACTTCCCTTAATCACTACAAAAAAGATACAAGGTAGATATTTTCTACTTTGCAGATGAAGGTGGGAAGTGAGTGATGTAAAGTGTCCCACATGTTCTCATAAAGGGGTTTTAAATACTAGTGTAGCAAGGGCAAGCGTTGAGCAACTGCTTCACTTGCCTGTATATCACAGTGCCGTGTGGACATAGAAACGTCTTCCAGTCTACCCTCCCTCAAAGCTGCATTATTGTCCCTTCTCCCTGGCCATGCGTTTCAATGCTTGTGGGAACATGACCCTTTGGCACTGCCTATTTAGATTGAACCCATGAGAGGGCAGTGGAAAAGAGCGCTCACAACCTGCTTTTGTGGTTGTACAGATGTCTGTACAAGTTCGCTTCTCTGCTGACCCTGTGCCTTTTTGTTTTCTATTTTTGTCCTTTTTGTTTTCTAGATAAAAAATCTCAACCGTGGTTTTGCCAAACTGAAGGCACTTGTGCCATTTCTTCCTCAGAGCAGAAAGCCTAGCAAAGTTGATATCCTTAAAGGTGCAACTGAATACATACAAGTTCTCAGTGATGTTTTGGAAGGAGCCGAAGACTCGGAGGTAAAGGTTTATGAATTTAGAAATATGGTAGACAGCATTTTTGAACCGCTTCTACATGTGAAGGATTGAGGCAAGCAATTTATGTATACTTTTCAGTTAATGGTTATAATAATTCTTAGAGATATTTATGGTCCTCGTTTAACAGAAGAGAAAAACCAAAGAATAAGTAAAGCCCACATAGCTAAGAAGTGTCATGATTGGAATTTGAAACCAAATCTGGATGGGATCCTGACCATTTAATTACTCACCTCCTGTCACTGTCCAGGGTGCCTAGAGAATCTTTAATAGAATCTTGACAGCTGGGACACAAAACAGGGCTTCCACCAAAGCACTTTGTGGTGGTAGTTTTAACACAGAAAGTGGTTTTGTGATAATTTGGTGGAACAATACAAAAGAACCTGCTTTGTAAACTGAAACACCACTGTGTCACCAGCATTATGGGAGTAGATTAGCAGAAGTGTTCAGCAGGCAGTGAAAGGTGTGGGCTAATGCTATGGCTCATTTCATGGATGAGCGTGGATGGGCAAACCCAAAAGCAGGCCTGCAAATGGACCTGCTGAGGGTGGGGTGGGGAGAAAAGGCCTTTGAAATCCCTGAATGATGCCTTAATAGGAGGAAGTCATTAGAGTGGAGAAGATGGAGGAGTAAGATCGGCAGGGGGATGGTTATAAAGTTGAGAAGGAGAGAAACTTGGGAAATAAGGGTGGAAAGAAGATCTTACAGAGACAAGGGAAGGCCAAGACCAGAAGGCATCTGGCCCAGTGTTGGGGAGGCAGGAGAGGAATGGACTAGGACAACTCGAAGAAGGCTAAAGTACATTATCAGTAAATAGCTGAGGTTCAAGCAGAGGGAAGTGACGAAATTCAAGTCACCATTTAACCTGAAAGTCTGAGAATAGAGAGGAGGATCAAAAGAATGAAAGGAAGGAAACTGTTAGCTCAAGTGGAACACTCTTCTGAGAAGTATGATCATGTTTAGAGGCAAAGAGGAGAGGTGCTAGAAGAGGAATATTTAAAAATGTACAGTTAAGATTTTGGCTGTTTTCTTCTCTTTGCCCTGTAGTCTATTCAGGTGACTGCCAGGAAGATAGGTTTGGATTAGTTTTTCCTATTTGCCAAATTGAGTGGTTCGGTTGTGGCATGGTCACAGTATTCAGACATGTGCAGCACACTGCCTCAGTTTTTGTTTGTGTTTTAATAGTGGAACAGGAGTTCTTTGTTTTGTGCTGCATTCATTATAAGACACAAGGTACAAGATTCATTAAAAGATGGTATGTCCCATACCATACTATTTTAAATGCAATCGCCTGTTATATCGCATTTTAAGAGTACAGAAGAACTTTCCTCTCCATAATAACTCAAGCATTGCCTTTATTGCTAAAATGAAGCTTAATCAGTTAAATGTTTGAAATATATTGATATAAGCCTTAAAAGTCTGACTGTCATATTGTACTGTTTGACAATTAACATGGTTTCTAGAAACAAGACCCAGATAAGCAGAACTATAGCAACAGTACTCCTGAAGCACATATATCCTTGGCTAGAGAGCTATCCAAAAACATTATCCAGCAGACCAGCTGCGTCTTGAAGAATGAAGAGGAAAGGCCCTGGGCAGATGGTGGCAGTGGTGGGCCTGCGTACGCTCATTGCAAGAGCATGCTGCCTGTGACTAGGAGTTATTTCACTGGCCAGGAGTCTGGTAAAGTATTCCTTTTTAAATCACTCTATAGAGAAAAGCTCACCATGTATACCTTGAGCTGTGTCATTTTTTTGTGCTAACACATGATTAAAAGAAGAAAATTTTGTGAAAGCACCTGGGTAGGGAGAGTGAGACTTTCTAATGTAGAAGGTTATGGCACTCCTAAATTAGTTGGTAGGTAACTCAAGGGTAGGGGAAATTCCTCCAGCATGACACAATATAGAACTAAGTTCATTTTTGAAAAGATCTTATTTAACACATCAAAAGGCTTTCTGGATTCTGTGGTCTCCAAGAAAAGAAGTAGGTAGCTTGCTATACATGAAGATTCATGATAATCCTAGTTTGAGAGCAGGGTGCTGTATGTAAGGAAGTCTTTTATAAGTAATAAAGCAATTGATTGTAATGACTCTTCTTACTTTGTCAAACTAAAGAGGTAGCTGGATGTAGCGGCATGCTTCTCCAAGTCCAGGGGGACACAGTTGGCTTTTCCTGTGGATCAGTGCCACACAGTTGAGGCTCCTTGTTCTGTTCTGTCCCATAGTAAATGCCATTGAAAGAAGAAAGGCTTGTAGAAAACTGAGCCAAGTGTAGTGTTGTTGCTGTCTGTGAGGGAAAATAGGAGCTATGGAGTCACAAATGATGGTGGGAAGCAGTTTAGAATAGTGGGTGTGTGGAGGCTCTGGAGGCAGGCTGCTGGGGTTCCAACCTGGGTTTTACCATTTGTTAGCTCTATGACTTTGAGTTTCTGAGCCTCTTTGATGCTCAGCTTCCTCATCTACAGAATGGGAATGATAACAGCACCTCCCTCGTACACAGGACAGTCAAAGGATATTATGATAGGGAGCTGTCTAGCATGTTGCCCTGTGTATCAGTGTTCACCTGGACACATACAGAGCTGGCTCGCCACTAGCGATCCATGTTGGATGGGAAACATGAATAAGGCACAGGCATACCCGCTCTGTTTGGAAAATATTTTGGGTTTTCTCAGTTGGCTTTCATCAGTGGTTTATCTGATTGGAGTTTTTCATAGGCTTCCTATTCACTCACTTGTCAGTCTTGATTTTCATTTCTGATTCAGTGGCTGTTTCCCAAGTATTCCATTCTAATATATGCTTGGTCAAAATTTTCCTATTCTGACTGAGATGGGAAACTTGTCTTGCCTGTCAACGCTTAGGAGACAATTCTTGTTGCTACCACAAGAGGGCACATGGGTGAGTGAGACCAAAAGAAAGTGAAAAAATGACCTGACGTGGACCTTGAGCCTGGCTATATCTTGGTTTAAAATAACCATGCTCCCACTAATGTTGGTGTTAATGTATCCTACATATCAAGGTGAGGATGAGATTTGTATTAAGTTCCCATTGGTCCTTGTTATCATCTCCGACTTTCCTGTCAGTTCTGTTGGGTGTTGGGTAGGGGCAGGAGGCTGTAGAGACTATCAATGGGTAGCCTTTGTCTTCTAGGGATTGTAGAACCTGGGATAGGCCACTTATAGCACATTCATTTAAAGTGTGGGCTAATATTTTCTATAAAGAACAAAAAAGTTCTCACTGGAATTTTCTTTTAAAAAAAGGAACAAGGCACTTAATTTTTAGCCTTTTTAGCTCACCAAATTTGTTAATTGAAAGTGTATGTTAATTCTTAGGGTGATACCAGATAGGTAACTTCTGCCAAGGGTGACTTTCAAGGCTTTATTATAGATACATTATAATATTTTATCAGTTTTTCAAGTTTTCCTCATCTTTAGATATTCAAATCTGTCATCTTTAAAATAAAAATTCTGAAATAATAACCTGTAGAAAGGCCCCAAGGATAACAAAAAGAACTTCTGGGGACCTGGAAGATAGCTCAGTGGAATAAGCACTTCCCTTGCAAGCGCAAGGACCTGAGTTCAATCCCCGGTTCTGCAAAAAAAAAAAAAAAAGAACTTTTGTTCCTAACCTATTTAGGAATGAGCTGCCAACCTGCCAACCCTATCCCTTTTTAATATTTTGGGACAGGATCTTGCCAAGTTGTTCAGACTGGGCTTAAATTTGGGACACTTTTGCCTCCAATTCCCACAGTGTTGGGATTATGGGCATGTACTCTCCTCATACCTAGTTACATCATCATTTCCTATGAGCAGGGACATTCTCCTAACATAAGCATAGCACAACCACCAAAATCTATAAATCAGTGTTGATATATTTTTGTCATGCAGTTTTCAGGCTCCATTAAAGTTTCACCAGTAATCTCAATAATGTCTTTTCTGAGCAAAAAGATATAGCTGAGAATCATGAATTACTTCTAGTTGTCCTATCTTTGTAGCTCCCTTCATCCTTGGCTTTTTTGTGACTTTTATGACACTGGCACTTTTAAAGATTCTGGACCAGTTGTTTGGTAGACTATTTCTTGATCTGCCCAATCTGTTTCCTCCTGATTGGATTCAGACTTGCATCTTTGGCAGGGACCACGGAAGAGGTGCTGCTTTTGTATTCATTGAATCCTTCCAGATGTGGTAGGTTTCAGTTTGTGCCACTTTGGGCTCCTACTTTCCTCTCCTTGGCTCCTGTAGTCCACCCAGGCCACCACTTATTGTAAGCCGGGTATCTTCTGCTTCAGCTAGGACCTTGATACCTACTTTGGATAACTATATGTCCCCTTTAGTTTACTGTAAGCCAACTACTGGCTTTAATTCTGAATTTATCAAAAAGTGGGAGGAAGAAGGGCTTGCAGGTTAGCTCAGTTGTTTCAGTGCCTGCACAGGCAAACACAGTCAGGCTTAGGGGACCTCGGTTCAATCCCCAGCTTCAGATGCCTTATGTGACCCATGGTTGAGGCAGCCTGAGCCAACCCCCCCCACCAAAAAAAAAATCCTTCTCAACTTTTTAGGGCTGGCCAAATAACTCAGTGGATTAAAGTGCTTGCAAACAAGTGCAGGGGCCAGGGGTTCGATCCCCAGGCCTGCCATGCTGGCCCCGCCCTCGGGATACGCTGAGATGGCAACTGAGACTGGTACTGAGACTGAGCATGGTGGTGTGCATCTGGAATCCCAGCTCTTAGGAGAGTGTGAACAGGCGGATCACTACAAGTCTGATCTAGTAGTGAGACCCTGAACACCCTGTAGACCTGTCCCTAAAATATAAAGAAAAAAAAAAAAAAAGAAAGTGAAATTCATTTTTCTTTGAAGTGCTTGTTGAGGGATCTTCCTGGCTAGTTTTTTTCTGTTAACATATCTAACTCTGAGATCTTGTTTACATGTGATTTGAGCAGTTGGTCAACATCACTTTTACCCACTTTCTAAAAAGCTTACTTTTTATAATCAGGAATCAGGATGGGGCCAAGATATAGGAGCTAAGGAATGCTTAGGTTAGTCTTCACTTTGACAAAAGGATCCTCATCAGATTTCAAGCCAAAGGAGTGACTATTTGGAGTTTCAGAATTCTGGCCAGATATCCTAAGTGGAGACCCTCTAGGCTCTTAGAACTGATACAGCTCAGTGGAGATGCACATATGCAGAGGGCCTTGGGAGCTGGGCAGCATCCTCAACCCAGCTTCAGTGTGCTGGAGAGGCACCTTTGTTCCTGCCTTCAGAGAGCACTTGGGGAGTGGAATTCTTGGTGTTGGCAAGGATGGGCACTTTTGGGGATTTGGAAATGGAATCAGAACAGTCTATGTGAGATCAACAACATTCCTCAGAGGTAGAATCCTGAACAAAGCATACAAGAATCTGCTGATGGAAGGAATAGAGATTAATTTCTGGGGCCAGAGCAGCCAGAGAGGGAAATGACCTATATGAAATCATGCACCTGGTCTTGTAGGTGTAAGATTAATTTCAAGTCTAGGAGAAGCTGCTGCAAATTTGAGTTCAAGGTGTATATACTTTGCCATATCGGGGTTGGGTATCGCTGGTCAGTGTCATGATGGTTGTCCTGCCACTGGTTTATTCCTTTTTTTGTCATTTATGACCATAACTTGGGCCATTTCGTATCATGAATTGTGTTCAGAGTTGCCTGTGATACAGTGGGGGCTACATCTGTCTCTGAACAAAGACCAGCTTCAGTTTTGGAGTGGGTTGCCAAGAGTCCTGGATTGGAAGGACTTTGGGAAGGGACCTGTGGATGAACATGCTGTCCTGAAAGGATCCTAAGTGTGTTGCCAACATACATTTCTAAACTTTGCTATGTTATGGGAAAGTTCCTTGAAAAGGCTTCTGAGAGGAGGCCTGTGGGGTGGTAGATATTTACTTTTCTCCAGGTTGTGATAATCTGTGAAATTAATCCTTGGGGATGTTTTTACAGTAGCATTTTAAGCTCTGAAATGAGGTGATCTGACTAGTTGGGAGGAATTTATTAGCACCCTGGGGAAGCCCTAAAGCAGTGATGGTGAGCCTGTTAGAGCTTAAGATGATAGCTTGCTGTGGCACACAGCATGTGTCATAGATTCGTTGCCACTGCCCTAGAGCCTCTTTTGTCTTCTATCTCATATCCCCACTGCCCTAGTGGTTAGAAGAGATGGTAATGATTCTATCACAGTGTCATGATGTAGCTAAGTTTTTGCATGGTAAGCAGATTTTTCTGCCCCAGGAATCACTGGTGGGGCAGATTCTGATGAAGTTAATCAACAGAGTACTTTGGAAGATTGAGTTCCCCTCCCCTTTTTTTGTGGTACTGGTTCAAGTGACTACATTTGAACCCAGAGCCTTTGCATTGAGCTACACCCCTATCCCTTTTTAATATTTTATTTTAGGACAAGGTCTTGCTATGTTGCTCAGGTTGGCCTTGATTTGGAATCTCCTGCCTCAGATTCCCAGAGTGCTGGATCCTAAGCCACCACTTGCGTGCCTGGCTGAATTTCTGTTTTGATGGGACAGGTGCTCTCTGTTTGCTGAAGTCCCCACCACTCCTTGTTTCTGCATTAGCTTATCTCACCTGCTTAGGTAATTTACCATGGAGGCCTGATCTAAGGGCACTAGGGCTGTCCAATGACTACATTTAGCCTCAGGATTTCACTGTTTTCCAAGCTTTGGGACTCTAGGAAATGGTGCTTCAGTGGTACATATACTTGTGGTTCCCTGGAACTTTGGACAGGTAAGCTGTGTGGAACATGCAGGACAAGAAAGCTTTATCTTTGGAATGATGACAGCTCCAGTTGGGGGCTCTCTGATTGCAGCTATTGAGGAAGAAAACCAACGGGACACCTGAGGAAAATTCTTAAAGCTAAATTTGATTGAGAGAAGAAGAAAATATTAAAAGGAAGACAAATTTTTATTTGTTTGTAAAATAACAGGAAATCCTTTTTTGTCAGAATTTTAATTTTTCTATGGGCACAGAAGGTTTGATTGATTGTGAATGCAGGCTCATGTTATTTTGGTGTGTGTGTGGGTTTATGTATACACACATGTGTGAATCTCGTGGGGATTTTTATGATGATGCTACTTGGTATGTGGCCTAACCCTACCAGTAAGCAGAACATTTGAGAAAGATAATAATTCTTTTCTAGTTCCATATAGATAATGGAGACTTTTGGTAAAATTAATTGCAATAAGTTTCCCCCTAATCCACTGGACTTCCAGAGGGACTATTTATGTGAGATTTTATAAAGGACCTTATAAAAGGTCCACCTCATTGGTCCTAGTTAAATACAGAGAAGAAAGGAAGAATTGGATGGACAAGACTTTCAGGGGAGAGACCAGACTTTTTATGTTCTCTCTTGAGAGAGTTGGTTCTTTGGGTTACCCAGAAACCAACAAATGCTAGGACACCAGGAGCTAAGCCTATTTCCCAAGGAAGATTAGTGTGCTTTACCACCTTGGACACCCTAATTCTTGGGTTATCCAGAACAGATATGGGATAAAATAGACTTCAAGGATGAAGTATTAATGACAAATCTCCTGTTGTGGGGTGGTAAAGGGAGTATAAATGGAACTCCATTATTTTAGAAGCTTTTTTGGTCTATTTCAGGTTCCTCCTCTTGGAAAGCTTTTCTCTCCTGACATCCTTCTAGCTCCTCACAGGTAGAAAACAAGTCTGAGGCACCTGCCTCAGTGGGGTGGTCTGAGGTAAGGAACCAAGGGCTAAAGTCCCCAGGAATCATGTGATCAGGACCAGGACCCCAAGGAAGAGGTTAAGGCTACATTTGGTGGACAGTGTTTCCCTCATTATAAGGAGCTTTGTCTGCTGGAAGATTACCTACGTACCTCTCCCTCTTGACTTGTGAAAGTGAGGCTTGTAGCTACAATAGTGGTTTCTAGTTTCTGGGTCCTGGTTGAACTTTCACTCAGCTGAGGCGGGACTGGCAGATGTGGACAATTGTAGCCTTTTTGTACTGCATTCTACTTCTTTCTGAGACCTCAGCAAGACCCTTATGATGTGAATAGTGGGAAAACCCTTTGTCTTGCCCCAGAAAGGATCATCACCTTCAAGTAAATACTGAATCCCTCCAGGGGCTGGTCTGGAGAAAAGGGATAGCAAAACCATGGACAGTCACAGTAGATGTCAGCAGCCCTCCAGACAGAGGAGTCAGAGGACCAGACAGGGTCTCCTTCCACTCTCCACAGTGTACACTTGGCACTATGCCTAGAGATAGAGAAGGGGTTGGAAGGTTGCTTAAGAAGAAACAAGCCCCATCGGGATTCTGACAAGGACAACATTGATAAACTTAGGGATGTTTTCCAAATAGGGTACTTAAATATGTATTATAGTCCTAGAATTTTCAATCTACCTCTTAAAAACAAAATAAAACAATATTTTAAAATACACTAAACTATAGGCTGATAGGGTTTATTTTTTAACAGTAGGCAAACACAGCAATATGAACTCGTGTCTTAGGTTTAAAACATTTCAGATACATAAAGAGGTTTTTTTTTTTTTTTTAAAATAAAGCTTCTAAAGCTAAATATGAGCAACAACAAAAATCTTGATTACAGGAATGTTGGTAAGACTTACTTAAGATCAGAAAAAAAGTTATTTATATGTACTTTGTGCCAGATATTTCCTGGCACTTTATATGTAATAATGTATTTAAATTTTACAACCCTGTGATACACAAACACTTACGTCCATTTTACATGTGAGGAATCTAAGGAATAGAATTAATTTTCCCAATATCCAATGAGTCAACGAAGTGATGGAGTTCAGGGTAACACTCTTTTTAATAACTTTTATTCCAACAAAACCCAGCCTTGAAATGTAAATGAGAGTACATCAGAAAATAAAAAAAATTAAAGCTAAATTAAAGTACTTCGTGAAAGCATTTTTTTCCTTCCACAGTGATGTATTTATTTGGTTCCAATATCTGAATTGTCTGAGTTGAGTCTTTATTTTTCAGTCATAGGCTTGTTTATTCTTTTAAGCTGAGATTTTAGAAAATACAAAAGATACTTGATGAATTCACAGTCTTAGTAAAACCTCTGCTAAAATGCTTCCAAATTGTTCCCTTTGTAGTGGGTTTAGAAATCATGATAGTGTATATTAATCACATTGTGGGTTCCATTCTTGATTTTTCTATCATGGACATATTTAAGTAACTTGTTAATTGAGTAACTTGTTAGTGACTTGACCGTTTTCTATTGGGGAACACTTAAGTTTCCTCAACTTTTTCTTCTTATAAACATAACAAATAACCTGATGAATGTACCCTTTTCTGTTTCTTGTATTTTTTTCCAGGATAGAGTTGCAAGAGTAGGATTCCTGGCTCACAGGTGGGTACATTAGATGTCTTGATGCCTAGTGCCCACTTATAATACCCAGCAATGTGAGAGAGCCAATTATGTTATATTTTTACCAATAATGAGACCTACTAAAATCTATGAAATACAGTATGTTTTTTTTCTACCAGGAATGCAGTGTTTATTATTTTGTACAAGTAATAGAGATGCCCCATGTAGAACTTTTTGACCTATATTCTCTAAGTATCTATATCTACTTGGGTTGATTGTATACAATTGATGTTCTCAATGTCCCATAATAAACAAGACACTACTAATAACTGGAGAAAATGAGGCCTTGGAAGGAAGTTGTTTTCCTGACTCTCAGCCTCTGTGGGTGAATTTCAACATTCAGCAACTTAGTACAAAACATACTGTTACAGAGTCCTTGTTCAAGGCAACAAAAATAAATTTCATGAAATACAGTATATTCAAATTTAATATATTTGACTACTAATGAAATTAAATCTTTTATTTATTTATTTTTTGCCCTAGGGATCAAAGCTAGAGCCTTACATGCCAAGCATGTATTGTCACTCTGATACCCTAGACTCCAAATTTCTCATATTTCTTTATTTTTTGTATTTTTTTTGTGAACTGTCTCTTCTGATTTTTCAGTCATTTACCATGAACTTTCTTTTCTGTTTCAGACCCCCTACAAATACAAAACTGAAAAGGCCCAGGATTACCTTGTAGGGGCAAATAAATACAGTCTTGAAAGTTTTGGAATCTGAGGTTTTGTTTGGGGGTATGTGTGAAGAAATTTGCAATAACTCAAATTTAACAATTTTTAAATGACCTTGCCTGTCACACATTCACTTACACTTCCCATTGCATGTTTTCAAGAAACAGGTTTTAGGATCTTCTACTTTTGTTCTTAACCTCTCAAAAGATTTCTATTCTTCTCAGGAGCTATATCTAATATTTTACCATTTGTTTTTAATCACTTTGAGGAATTAATGGCTATTACCTTTCCCAGGGATTTGATCTTTTTATTGTACTGGGTATTAAATATACAGAACACTGAGCTACATCCATGGCCTTTATTTAATTTTAATTTTGAAACAAAGTCTTGCTCAGTTGCCCATGCTGGGCTTGAATTTGCAATCCTCCTGTATTGGTGTCCCAAGTAGCTGAGAGTCCAGGCATGTGCCAATGTGCCCTGCTGGAAATTAACATTTAACCAGAATGCCAGTTTAAGGTAAGTGAATATGGAATTGCAGAACACCTGCAATTGGCCCATGAGAATGAGAATTTTCAGGGTTTTCTAGATGCCCAACTAAAATTCCCCTTCTGGGTATCTTCCCAGAAGAATTAAAAACATTATACCACAGAAATATATGTGTACTCATGTTTGTAGTAGCACAATTTGTAATACCTAGATTTTGGAAACAACCCAAATGCCCATCAACTGAGGAATGGATAAAAGAGATGTGTCTTTTTATATAATGGAGTACTACTTGGCCATTAAGGAGGATAAACTGGAGACTTTATTATTATTACCATTTATTTTTGTGGTACCAGGGATCAAACTCAAGACCTTGTACTTGCCAGACAAGCACTTATTCCATTGAGCTATCTCCCTGGCCCTGAGACTTTATGTTTTAATGGATGCAACTTGAGACCATACACATAAGTGAAATAAACCAGATGCACATAATATAAACATCGTATTGTCTCCCTAGTGTGAGAAGCTTAAAGATCCAAAATATAAAATGGGAAGAAACTTCAAAACAAAAGAGAAACGGATAGAATGGAGAAAAGGAAGGGAAAATTGTGTGTGTGTGTGTGTGTGTGTGTGTGTGTGTATACCATTAATTCTCTTAGTTTATTGAAAAGAAAGACTTGTGCTAATACTGTTTGGACAATTAAGTGCCCGTATTTTGTGGGCTCAAACTTGTGATCTTCCTGTCCCAGCCTCCTAGAGTGCTGGGATTCTAGGTTTGCAACATGCCTGGCTATATGTCCTCTTATAAGCACACCAGTCACATTGGAACAAAGCTAACATATGTTCTAATAATATCTTCATTACCTCTTGTTTTCTTTTTCTTTATTATTTATTTATTTATTTATTTATTTATTTTTTGGTGGAACCGGGGATTGAACTCAGGCCCTTGCACTTGCCAGGGAAGCGATTATTCCACTGAGCCATCTCCTAGGCCCTTCATTACCTCTTGAAGGGATCTAGTTCCAGTTACATTCTTAGGTCCTGAGGGTCATGACTTCACCATGCAAATATTAAGAGGGTAGAGTACCCTCATACCAGGGCAGTACTGTTACTTTCCCTTTTACCTGGGAAGAGATCAGGGATCTGTGGCTTTCCTGACTCCTAACTCAGGTCTTCTTCCAGAGCGGGCCTCAGCCACAAGATGGCTGAATGTCCTTTTGTTGGGGAAATAGTATCTTCAGATGATCTAGACTTAGTTTTTCTTTGGTCTTGCTTTGAAAGGACTCCACCACCCCTTCTGTCTTAAATTGTCTCCCCTGAAGTTTGTCATGATCTGAGTAGGAGGCAAACCCACAAAGAACCTGTCATGGAAAGGGAACATGACATAGGAAAGAAAAGACACAGGTGCCTGGCCAAGGTTACTGCTGTGGGTACCTGGGGTTCAGTCCTGCTGAGACACTCTTAGAGATCATATAAAACCCACCTCAGAGGCATCTTCTCAACTTGTAGGGTGAGCAAAGCAGGCAACCGATCCACTAACTCCCCATAGTCATTGTAACTTCTCTAGTATTCCCAGCATTTCTCAGGGAAGGCTACCAGCAGTATACACCTGGAGAATTCTAAGGTTGTTATCTATGTTGCATAACAAATTACTCCAAACTTAGAAACTTAGACAACAGATTTGTTAACACAGTTTCTTGGGGGTAGGAGATAAACCTGGATTGATTTAACTGGTCCTCTGGGTCAAGGTTTCTTGAAGTGTTGTGCAGGACTAGGATCTGTGCTGAAGGCTCGGAGGGGAAAAGCTCTACCTCTAAGATAAACTAGGTGGCTGTTAGCAGTATTTGTTTCCTCTGGGATATTGATTGGATGCTACCCTCACTTCCTCGCCAGGTGGGTCTCTCCAATATGGCTACTTAATGAAGCATGCAGAGAAGGAGGCAATCAAGCATCTGCTAGCACTAGGAAGTGTCTTACATAATATGACTGCAGAAATGACATCTCATCACCTTGGCTGTATTCCATAGGGTAGATAGAGGCAAGTCCTGGTTGCACCTGAGGGGAGTGAGTTGTGCAGCGTGTGAAACTCCGGAGACGGGGGTCCATGGAGCCAGCTTAGGGCTTTTTTGAAAGAACTGTGTTACCCACTGCACAGCCATCTTCTCTCTACAAGTTATTGCTGTTCAAAAACATTTTTGTCAGAAGACCTAGAGACAAATGATTTTATTTCAAATCAATCAGAAAATCTAATTTTATGCTTGACTTGGCCACAGGGGTTAGCTAACTATGTTCAGGTCGGGCCTGGGTTCTCCTGTGCTTTTCTGTCATGAATTGAGGGCCAGGGATCCAGGGCCTGCTCCAGTGGGAACTTGGAAATCTTGTGGGCTTGGTGATGGCTGAAAGATTTTTGTGAATTTGGAATTGAGTGAGAAATTCTAGAAATTCATTGAAAAAAATTTTTTTTCCCTGTATTTTAGGGAAGGGTCTACAGGGTGTTCAGAGTCTCACTATTAGATCTGACTCATAGTGATTCTCCTGTTTATAGTCTCCCACGTGTGCTGGGATTACAGGCATACACAACCACCATGCCCAGTCTCAATTGCCTTCTCAGATTGTCCCAGGGGCGAGGCCGGCACACAAGCCTGGGGATCCAAACACTGGCCCCTGCACCTGCTTGCAGGTGCTTTAATCTGCTGAGCTATTTGGCTGGCCTTCAATGAAAATTTTACATAGACTATTAACGTGAAACTTAAGGAAGTTTTGTTTCTTCTCTGACGTCAGACCGATGCGTGGAGCCATGATTCTTAGCCCTGATACTCAGATGGCATCTGGGGGATGTGGAATGTATTTTCTTTTTGCATCCTGTTATGACCAGAAGAACAGAGGGGGTTCTTTTTGGGGAGAAGGAAAGCATATCTGCTTTGTCAGTGTCTTGTAACAATTCTGCTTTTAAATATCTTTTTTGTTTTTGTCCCTTTTGAGAAACAATGACACACGGTACTTAGCACCTCTGAGCTCCAGGCTGGAGTCCTTGAGTTTGAGGACTGGCTTGGCCAACTATTTGCTGTGCAACCCCAAGAAATTTCTTAATCTCTCTCTGTCCCAATGTCTTCATCTGTAAAATAAGAATATTAGTATGATCATGTTCATAAGGTTCTTGTAAGGATTAATTGTGTAAGAATTCACATAAAAGCTTCAGAACACACCAGGAGTCAAGGAGGGTTTGCTGTTGTTAGTTTGAGAAAGCTAACACACTAAGGAGAGAAATTTGAGTGATAGAGATGATTGAGAGGATTTAGGAAAACTGGTATTTCTGTACTAGACAAAATTCTCAGTTCACTTTGGGGTTCTACTTAGGAATACAGCCCACTTTCCCTGTTGTTTCTGTGTTTTGGAGAACAAATACCTAGGTGCCCAGATTTCTCTACGCTTGGGTACTAGTAGGATCACAGCCCCAGGAGTGCCTCAGCAAACACATTGCCATGGAGCTTCCTTGGCCCGCAGACCTTGGGTATAGAGGCTGGGGAAAGGAAAGTTTACCTGTCTATGTCCAAAATGTCCAAACCTGCTGTAGTTCTCCTATTAGGCTTCTGCAGGAGCATGCAGAGAGGGCTTATGAAGGATAGGAGTGAGGGAGAAGGCCCAGAGGGTGCAGGTTCCGGGGCTGTGGGGGTTGGGTGGCGGTGGACGAGCAAAGGAGAATCTGATTCAGGTCTGTGAAGCCTGCAGCCTGTTCTGGGGTTGCTGCGATGGGGCTCTTTTCTAAGACAGTAGTAGCCTGCACGAAGTGGAGGTGCATACATGCTAGTTAGTGCTCAAAGAAATCACTAGGAGTGTTTGTTAAAAACATTAATGCCCAGGGGCCAGGGAGATAGCTCTTAGTTGTAAGTGCTTGCCTGGCAAGTGTGAGGTCCTGAGTTCCATCCCTGGTACCGCAAAAACAAAACAAAACACACAAAAAGCAAAACATTAATGCCTCAGTCCACTGGCAGAGATTCTGCACCACAGCTTCTGAGTGGGCGCGGGGACTCACATAGGGGTGTGGGGGAGCTGTGATACCCTGGAAACTGGAAGGAGCAGAAGTGCTGGGGTCTGGCTTGGGGTCAATGGCCAGAATGGTTTCTGGCTTGGAGTGAATGTTGATTTGGGGGAGCTCTGGAGGCCTTGTGGAGATATGGAGGTGCGGGGTCCCAAGCTGCCCCTTGATGCCTACTCTAGAGGGCCGGGCTGGAGAAATGCTGCCCACAGCGCCATAGATGGTCCCTGTAGTGCAGGCCCGGAGAGTTAAGTGGCTTCATCAAGGTCACACGCGATTAATGGCAGGCCTGAGACTGTGGCCAATTTCCTGGTCCCCCATGGGGTTCCACACTCACTGCACACCTGCTCCCTGGGGGCTCTGAAGCTGGGAAGAGAGGAGGCAGTGAGTGTTGGGAGGGCCTGGCCTAACAAAAATGTGTCCTGCTTGAAAACGGAGTCAGAATAAGGAAGATTCTGGTTTAAAATTTAGTCAACAATTGCTATGAACATC